GTGTGTACATTGCGAGTTGTTTGTTTAATGAAAGCAGCTTATAAATGATGTACGTGTTTAGGAACTTTTGGAACTGTCACAATTAGGGTTCATATGTTGTCTTGGTTTCTGTAAATTTCACCATTATTTCAGGTCGAAACCTAACCAATAAATGGTTCTACGGCATGCTGTTTTTTACAGACTGGTGCAGGTATATTTCAGGATTATAAAATATGACTCTTGGATCATCTGTGCTATTAGTATTCAAAAACAAATTTTGGGGATAAAAATGACTTCATGATGGTTTTCTGTAAAAAGAAATTGTCAACACTATAGGTATTTTTCGTAGATACACGGAATAGCTAACGCGTTAGCTTTCCCCAAGGCCTGCCATTACAAAATACGACCGTACCACGTGTTGGGAAAACTGATGTACAACACAGTTTTCAGAAAATAATAATATTAGGAGAACCGTTAGACACAATAAGGAAATAAATAGTGAAGAAAATATAAAGAAAATTATGGAAAAAAAATATAAAAAAGGAAAAAAAGTCAGTCAACAATAAATAAGAATAAAAAAAATCGGGCCCGTTGTAAAGGTGATTTCTCCCAGACTGAAAACCACACGTAACAACCAGAGCAGCTTCCCAATGATTTGTTTCTTGAGGAGTAGGATTACAGACCAAGAGCGCTGCATCCTTTTTTATATTCCAAGGAGGAGGGAAATTTATTCGTAAAGGTCACCGTGATAACTTTATACTTCAGCTGTAAATTATATTGTGAGATTCAAGGATTTGTGAGGTATAAGTGTAATATCTTTCCTCCATTACTTACATGGCTTGATCCTTTTTTCTACAGGAAAGGAGCTTCATTACGTACGTTGTCTCTCTCTCCTCTCGCGGCTAGGTGTTCCCATATTTATACGACGAATTTCAGGTTCGTTTAAGTCTTAATTTTTGCACTTACAGAACTGTAAGCAACTTTTTACCCTTATTTAAAATATCTTATGAGTAATGATATTAATGTTTCAATCATATTTGAGTAATTATCAATATTGTTACCGAAGTCACCAACGGCTAATGAAATCGGCAGCGCCCACTTATAAACGGGTTGAGCCAAAGCAGGTGCGAGCCTTTTCGATTCTTTCACGCCATACGCTGTTTTAGATCCTATCCAATATCCTACGGTATATATAGAATTATTGTTATAATTTTATCACAGTTTTTTATTGCCCCCAACTCTTCAATATTAATCAAAATATTCTCCATAAGCGGTCATGATCCGCGTATTTACCCACTGTTTTAGTGAGAGAAACTCGCTGATTGGTTGTTAGCTATTTGCGCACCATGCACGCTAACGCTCCAGTTTGATTTTCTCTCAAGGGGTCATGAGCAGCAGAACGCGGCAAAAGAGTGTACACCGACAGAATAGCTTAACGCGTTAGCTATTCCGTGCATCTACAATAAATGCCCTAGAATAGTTTTACTCATCTCTATTACCGATGAAGAAAAAAAAATAACTTAAATATATTTGTTTTCAAATTGGTGCATTTTCGGCCGCCGGATTTGAAAACAATTAGAAATGCAGGGTCTAACGCGGTGATGTACGTACACTGCTGCTTCTGTGATGGTGATCGACACATTCAAGGATTCTGGGACTATAGTCCCAGAATCCTTGACATAATTCATTCTATCCCGTCCCATCCACTTACCAAGTTTAAGCTGGGGTGTGATACCATGTTCTTGAGTCCCAGAAACAAATTACTTTGCTATTTACTTTCATTTATCCTGTCAACTGCACATCTCCCTTTTAAGCATGGCGAAATTCACTGGTAATTACAGTGCCAATGTATCTCAGATGCAAATCATGTATGCAATAGTCGTTCATTCAGTGTTTTGGTATGAGTGATGAAGGAGGATCACAGCTGACATTATTAATCTTGAGGCCATCTGTGTCTGGTAATGTTATTAGACAAGGGGATGGAGTATGTTTCTAAACAATGCAGTATTTTTAAGATATTTATTTCTGTATAATGAGTTTCTACAGAATCTACACCCATGGAGAATAAGTGGGCATTCGTTGAGGCGAGAGGTGACGGACCAATCAGAGGGAGGGAGTTGGTGAGGGATGTTTGTTTTCATAACATCCGCCCAGTCCCACGCTCTCGTTTCACATTCAGCTCTTTCACCCTGTACTTTACATTTATTTACGCAGTTATCATCTATTTGAACTAATAAGTATATTTTTTAATGTTTCATGTTAAAGAAATACAAGGTTAATTTGGCTTACAAGTACAAAAATCAGGTACAGTACTCTACAACTTCGGCATCTGCATTACAGCTTTGCCTACATGTCATATATTTTTATTTTATTTATTTATTTATTGTATTCTTTTTTTTGGTACGGGGATTAGTCCAACCGAGCACAGGTCACTGACCCACATCAAGGCCTGGGGGGGCGTAAATATAATAATAATAATACTGTCGCGGTCTGATCACGTAAGGGGACAGACGTGTGCCCATAGGTGCTCCTGTCCTCCCGATCGTCATACAAAGACTACCTTAGTCTCAACCTACCCCTTCGCCGGCAAGTGTTACCAGCGATGGTACGTTTATTGTACACTGTCTCCGTGTCATATAATGAACCAAATGAGTCAAAAATTAAATAAGGGGGGGATGACAAAGCACTTGGTAACTTATTAGTCCAATTTCAGCTTCCTAACTAAAAATTCCCTAAAACAAACCGATCGCAAGCAAAATAAACGGAGCTACCAGTATCTGAAAACGGTGTACAATATTGACCCTCGACCGCCTCTCCTTTATTAACTGTAGTTAGATTCCAATTAAGCTGGATGGTATAGTAATGCTCCAAGATCGAACCAACGACCCTTACAACACAAGATGAATATGTTATCCACTCAGCCGCTGCACCCGAGTATAATAAAGGACTAGAAACTGGATCATAAAAGTTTTGTAAACGTATCTTCCATTCAGTTGTCATCCATACAGCTGTTGACGCAACAATAACCATTGTAAGATAAAGCCAACAGATTTATTGTTTTTATTTTATTAAAAAATGCCTTTGTTAAAACTATATGGTTTTTGGTCAGCCATTCTTATATCTTTTAAGCAAATTTGGGGATAGTACTGGTGCTGGTAATTTTTTGCAATTGCACGGATTGCTAAATATTACTGGTGAAGGGCAGAAACTGGATTGAGAGGAAATATTTAATATACTCAAAAACTTAATAATGACTGATTCATTTTAAATTTTACTCTTACGGCTAATATAACTAAAGCCACACGATTTTCCCGTCCTATAGAACGTGAATGTTTTTCTGGGAATAAGAAAATGGGGAAGTGGAACGTATCGTATGGTCATATTAAAAACAAATTAGAATTTAACTTTTCTTGAACCTTACTGTATATATAAATGGATGATTAATATTGTATACAAATACATGTGATATGTTTTTAGAGGGGGAACATACTAGTCGTAGCAATGTATTTTGTAAGGTGAACCATGGTGATAAGACTACGTGTAATTTATACTCTTCCATTCTAAAGTAAATAATTAAAACACATCAGATGTTTGAGCTGGATGATGCCTGCGTCACAACAACCACGCCCAGACCTCTGATGAGAGAAACATGTAGGAAGGCCTTGCATTGTTATGTAATACATGAGCACATTACCTTGAGCACTAGATGCATATGTTGATTGTTAGCAAAATTAAGCGTCTTAAGTTATACAAGAAGTAATTATCAAGGTAGCAAACCGCTTCTTTCTGTGATTGTTAATTAGTTAAAATCAACATTTATTTTTTTACACTGGCCAATGGTATAGTTCTACGCCCCCAGAGTACCGAATTCACATAAGCAAGTTATTATCCGGTGTGAAGTTGAGAGGTGAGCAAGCGCCTGGCACCTCTTTGTTTAATCAGGGTTATGATAGCTTTGGTTATGGCTGGGTTAGTAAACGTTCACATCGAAACGTCCTATTGTAAAAGAAAAATATGTACAGCATCCTAGCACTTTTGCTGAAACGTCCTGAATGTGGCTGAAGCCTGAGTTGCCCCCAGAGGTCCGCCAGACAGTTCTCGCCAGTTGGGAGCCGTACGGGTGGGGTGCAACGACCCGGGTAAAGCAACAAAGTATTTTCTCAACTCCACCGCTTTCTATTTTTCCAGACACTGTAAGCCATTTTTTTTAGCATTTGCTATAATTGTAAGGATAAGAACCTCAAGAGTCTTTAGTCAATTTTATTACTCGTGAAATTCCTTGGCACAAATGAATATTGCTAGAACGTGATTGCTAAAGTAAAATAAAATGGTGATGGGGTCTAAAATTACTTTGAACATTGGTAATTATTTTTAAAAAGTACCGTATACTTGTACAGTACTTGGAAAATACGAAACGAAGTCATTGCCAAAACATGCTATTAATTGTTATGTGAGTTTAGTGTTTAAGTCAAATTGCTTTCATGTAAATACTTGATAAATTCAAGAACCGTCCAGTTTCCGTACGAATGAAAAATAAATATTTCCGACAATTCTCTAAAGGTGAACATTTAAATACAACAAAGAAACTTATGATAAAAAACACGGATATATCATGAAATGAATAACGTATACACATGCCTCATTTACTGCTGCAAGGGTAAAACGTTCCGGATACAAGAGAAATTTGCATATGAATATGTATAACTCGGTGACCGAATATTTGATCCTATAATTTTCTTTACCTAAGTTAGATTATATTAAATTGGCTAACAGAGACGGGATACTTACTGCATGGGCCGGGAACTAATAGGAAAAACGTGGGGTAGTTCTTGGAAGAGATGAAGAGGAACCCTGAGAGATGTACTTTTCAGACGAGGGATCTGAGGATACATGATGGAAGTACGGCGGGAGATGCATGTGATAGTGAGAGAATATCTACAAGCACAAATAAAATTCAATACAAAATGTGATTAGGAAGAGTTACCAAAAGGGACAATCGTAGTGAAGGCAAGGCTACTTACGCCAGTGTCGGTTCGGGTGAGGCAGACGAGGTATTCCCCGCAGATGCCGTACTGTGAAGGGGAGGGAATGTTGAGGGTTTGGTTCTCACAGAGCTGGCCAAGACCCCGGGCACACACCTGGCAGCACCCGCACGTGTCCAGCAGTAAGCCTCCTAGGCAAGAATCTTCCACTTCAGGACATAGCGACCTACACCGTCAACCACAACACGTATTAGTACACATTCTATAACTTCATCGAAAAACTTGCAGAACTTTCAATAAGCTACGCCATCAATTTATATATAGCCTATAACCATCGCACTTTCTATGTAAAAAGGGCGTTGTGCATCAGTAATAATAATAGTAATACTTGGTGACACGACCCTATATTGTGTTAAAATAAGATAAACAATCGAGACGGAGACAATACTATATTACTAGCTCTGTTTATGCAAAGTACTTTAAGCACAATATACAACTTCGGGAATAGTCAAGTAAAAGTAAAACCTGTATAACCTTGTATGTGCGTGACCAAAATACACAGAATCAGTCAAAAGATGTCAAATAATTTTAGTTTAGCAAATCTTAAATAAATTGGCCGAGGTGTGTATCCATCACCTAAAATTATACTGTACGTAATTGCCCAAAAAAATAATTGTATATGTAATCAATGTCCTCAGGGGCGGTCATAAGATAACATCGTAAATCCGTCTTACCATACATACCGCATTCCAGATAACCGCAACAATCACTTGTTTTGAGCGTCCCTCAGACTCCCTCTGGTAGCTTTTATCTTTAAGATTAATGTAGCGCAAGTAACGAAGTAATCAAATGACGTGTATTTATATATATATATATATATATATATATATATATATATATATATATATATATATATATATATATATATATATATATATATATATATATATATATATATATATATATATATATATACTATATATATGCAAGTAAATCACTGTAGGTGCGCGTGATCTAGGTATATGCTGATAACCACAAGGAAAGAAGAAAACACGAAGTTCCCAAGCGCTTTCGTGTAATTCACTGTATATATATATACATATACTGTGTGTATATATATATATATACTGTGTATATATATATATATATATATATATATATATATATATATATATATATATATATATATATATATATATATATATATATATATATATATATATATATATATATATATATATATATATATATATATATATATATATATATATATATATATATATATATATATATATATATATATATATATATATATATACAATATATACCGCCCTAGGTAATACCGCCTAGGAGGGTATTGGAAGCATAATGGTAGAACCTGCTGCAATATGGCATCGCGAAAATTGCGACCAAGTCCCAGGTTGCTGATCTGACGACTTTCTGCCTCATTTACACACAATTGCAGTCTCAATTGTTTCTCTTACTTGTCAACACAACATACATATAGCGTTTCTTACTATTGATTTTTTGTTTTGTATTTCTTTATAGTTCTTTATTATTAGTAGTATTATTATTATCATTATTTTACTTTTTTATTATAAATTTTATTTACTAGGAATAATTATTACATGTTCGCCCCCAGGCCACGATGTGGGTCAGTGACCTGTGCCCGGATAAGCTAATCCCCGTAAAAATAAAACATAAAATAAAAGGCAATTGACACATTATTCTATTAAGAGTTCATGTCGCAAACAATAATTTTTACAATATTGTTAATTCAACAGCAGGGCCCCCAAAAAACAAGGAAAAGAAAATAAGTTAGCTGTATTAATTATCAGAAAGATAACCTTTTACAATAACATTAAAGGGCAAAGGGGGTCAGTGTATTGATATCAATAGTCTTGTCATGAAGATGCTTCTTTTTATTATAAATTACGCCAAAGGGGCAACAAGCCAGTTAGAAGACGCGATCATGTACAATGACGTTAAACCTAATATATAGTCTGAGATATCCAAGATGGCTGACAAAACAGCCATTTTACGTAGAAATTGTCCATGTTTCGGTAAGAAAATATTTGGCGGGGATCATTTTGAACTACCTATTTGTTTAAATCAAAACGAAAATTTTTCTTGACAAAATGTTAACTTTTATTACCCAAATATACGTTCTGCACCATATAATGTATAAGGGTGTACTCTGTATTACGAACCTACTGTACGTGAAAATACACCAATCGATACCAAGACTGTCAGTCAAGTTTTCATCTGTTTATATATATTATAGCGATATAAGAGACAGCTTTATATTGCTTGTTCCTGTTCTATCAGTATTTGTTTATTACATAATATAACATAACATTCATATATATTAGACAAAATACCAGTAGATTTGGATTTTTTTAATTCCAAGATATAACGTGAACGATATATTGCTGGAAATCAGCATATATTGGCTTTGTCGGCTATCCTTACTGTTTACTAATTTTGTATACTTGCACTGCCACTGGCTGCCACTGGCTAGGTAGTCGCCCACTGAAGTCTGTCGCCTCTCCTTCTGTTCCACGAACCCCGAGATTCAGACTCGTGAATCCAAAGCATTTATTGACAGAACAATGCAAGTGCCTCACTGTTTCGGGTTCACGGGTCTAACTAGGGGTTCACGGAACAGCGAGAGAGGCGACAGGCTTTTGTGGGTGACTATACTGTACATTGGAAACTGCATACCTCCACGGTCTAAGTACAATCTATACCTGCGTTGTATATACATATGCTGAACTGTATACCATGCCAAACCAATTGTAAATTTAAACGATGATTTTACTGAATTAATAATATTATTCTCAAATTTTATAGCGAGAAGGGGGTAATTTGGTTTATTACTGTTCTCTGAATACAGTATTGTGTTATGAAAAAGACACACTCGTCTCAAGTAACTTTTATGCAATGTGCTGCTTGTCACACTTAACCCACAGTTCGTTTATTTTTGTTGATTCTCTGTTAATTTATTAGTCTCCAACCTCACATAAGGACTCAAATTGAAATACTGTAATCTAGTAGTTGACTTGGACTATGCCTATTCAAATCAACGAACCTTTGAGTGTGAGCTTCCATGGCGATTTTACTAAATAAATATCTCAAGTGTGCGCGCGCGCGTACATGTAGGCATGTTAAGTGAGAGTGATTTGCTCTTACCATACAAAAGCAATTATAGAAAACTGAAAGTTGCCAACCTCACCTTTTGAAGATTTATAACACAACCAGCTTTTGACTAATAGTTATTGTTAGTTGAATTTGATTTATAGTGAAACAGTTATTGGACTTTCAACAAAATACATTAAGATGCTAAAAGAGGGGCAGGTGTTTGCCATGTTGATAGACATCTTACCTGTCACACTCTCCACATGATATATCGATGTCTTGGGCCACAGCCACGGCAACCAAAAAGGCTGCTGTGACGCTGAGAATAACTCCCTTAGCCATATCCTTAGTTACTCCTGTCGCTCTAGTGCCCATGATGCCGGGTGGATACCCTCACCCTGTGTTCCAGTGGGCATGTCACACTTTCATACAGCTATCATGTCGATTGGATCTTCATAATCTTCCTCCGTATTTAAAACCAGGGTGAACTAAGATTAAACTATTTAAGGTCATTTATGTAATTTTCTAAAATCAATGTTTTTCTTAAGAACATTTTTTAATGTGAATCATACGTCAGGCATCACATTTCGGTTAGTGCCAAAGAGGCGCGGTTCATCCTCAAGCTGTTACGCAGCACCAACAAGGGCGTAACCTTGCCACCCACGTCCAAGAAAATTTCTAAGTTACCACATTCTGTTCCTAAGTTTACACTAACCTGGAGAAATGTATGAGAACACCGAAATAAGCTATACATTTTTATATCCAAACGACTTCAAGTAATATTCTTAATTAGTAAATGTCTAAAGTGTATAAGTATAGTACAGTATTGTGAAATTAGTTTAACTATTACATGTGGCAGTCTTTCACCACAAAAGGCGTGGCTTCTTCCTTTATGGTGGTGGTGGATGTATTTTTATTTGTGGTGTTTGGTCGGGTCACACTGGATAACACCCTTCTCACGTGTGTCCGGGCCGAGGCTCGAACCCTTGACATATTTGGAGTTATGCGCGTTACCTTTGTACAATTTCGCTGTATTACAAGTGAAAGAAATCTTTGTTTCTTAGAGAATTGTAAATTTTATCAATATGTAAAATGCACTCTGCTTACCGAAATATTTTTTTCAAATATTGATCTTGCCATCTCTTAACACACTTTGTTGTGAAGCTGATGCCGAATCACGTTTCAGAGACCCGTCCTCCTTTCAACAAAACGTTCCATACTAAAATCTTAAAAATTATAAAAATCTTAATTGAAATCTTTCAAATAATACAGATTTTTTTTAACTGTACTGGATTGATTCCTTGACACGTATTTTCGTTACGATCTGGAGAATGTTAGTAATGAACTGTTTAGATTAAAGGAAAATTATATTTTAATAAAAAATTTGCATATTTTGAAAACAAATATTAGTATATGCAACCGTAACACCCTTCAAGGATAGGTTTCTCGATGATTCATACGTTAAATTTTCTTCATAACTGTCGACATACTTTTATCCTCTTCGCCACTGATCGGCTCGTTAGCATCTTGGGCGATCGGTCACGTCTGTTACTTTTCTTTTTCTTTTATCTATGTTACACACAGTTGGCAAGTACTGGCTCCTGAATGTATCTGAACCAGCTCCAGTGCTTGACTAAAGCACACAACAACGTCCAAAATGGCGACAATACACTGAGACTATAATTTGATGGAATAGGTTCTCATAACACCAGTTATCTAGGAGAGTTAGTGGTTCTGTACTTTTAATTCTCATGCAGGTAGTATCCAGGAACTTGTTTAGCTTGCAGTTTCACCTCCTTTTACTGTGGCCATTACCTCGTTTTGTTTTCTTTCCTGCCTTCTTCATTGTTCTTTCTTGGTGTTACTTAGCTTATTCTCTCTCTAGGTCCAGAAGGCAACAGCGCTAAAAACAAACCAAACGTAACAAGTTATTTTTATGTTACGTTGGTTTGTATCATGCCATGCTGTCATTAACTTCTGGGCATAAAGAACCTCTACCGCCGAGTGAAACCCTTGTAGTGGATTTCTCCCCTACAAACACTGTTTGTCGCTGAGTAGCCGACCCCACCAATTCTCCAGTGTATGCCTCGTGGTCTAGGTCAACCAGCGCCGCCATACATCACAGAGCGGGGGTCAACTACTAAGCCACGCCTACCCCCGCTATTTAAGACCTGACCTCGTGGTGACCTGCCTCTTTCTACCTACACCAACCAGCCAGCAACACCTCCTCCTCCGCCTGCCTGGCGGTCCTCTCTCCCGCCGGCGAGCATGGCGACCCACAAGCTGTCCTCTGAGCGTCCTCACCAACCAGCTCTCTCTACATCACGCTTGTAACCATGCTGCCTTCCCAGCACCAAGCGGCATTGTACATCCAATACAACATGTATATAGAGAGCACATTGTGAGTTTCCTTTCTCCATTCCATCCTGAGTGTGAACCAAACATCCTTTACCCCACACCCTCATCAAATTCGCGGCTTTTCTTTGGCGTTTTAACACATTCAGTGTGTGACACCAGGATACCTCCACCCCTATGATCTTCTTTTGACTTGACACTGGTATCTTAAAGTCTAACTTAACTTTATAACAAGGTCTCATGATAGCCACACAGTAGGATTAGTAGTATTTTGGTGGGCCTTGTCACAGTAACCGTAATTACAAATCACCGAGGGCTCCAAGCTAATAATAAAAAAAGGCCCCTCATGAAAGAAAAAAAAATCAATTGAACCATCACTAACTATAATAGTGTATTTCCAGTGTTCACGTGTGTCTAGTCTTACCTTGTGCTTCATAGCTCATGAGCAGTTTAATAGTATATAAACTTTGTTCGGGCCAAAATTTAGTGTGATGCCATTATAAATACTGTACTGCTTTACATATTTTGTTTATCTTTGCTGATGGTGGATGATGCAATAATAGAAGCGCTAGTAAGTAAATACTGTAAGTCGGTGTTCCTCATTTTTTTTTTATAAACCTAAGGTTTGTAAGTACAGTACTGTACCTGTAATGTCTCCTTTGTTAGGGAAAAGGACGGGGAAATGTCAGAAAAGGGAGTGGAGGAGGTAAGCCAAGAATAAATATAATGCATAAATGGGATATTAGATGAGGAGAAACATGCAAGTAATGACTGGAGGGAGTTTCCATTTGTCAAAATATTAAATTGGCAAATCTAGTATAAGATGCATGTAGAGAACCCTTACAAAGGAGCCCTAGATATGAAGCCTATCATATTTAATAAGGAATGATTGGGTTGGAGAGAAACCATTGCCCAACCTGACGTTCACCGGTCTCATGGTCCCACCCCGTCCAGATTGGTGGGTGCTGCTATGTGGGGTACGTTATGTTTGGGTTCGCACTCAGGATGGGATAGAGAAAGGAAACTCACAATGTGCTCTCTGTGTACATGTTGTATTGGATGTACAATGCAGCTTGGTGCTGGGAAGGCAGCATGGTTACAAGCATTGAGTAGAGAGAGCTGGTTGGTGAGGGTGCTCAGAGGAGGACCAGCTTGTGGGTCGCCATGCTCGCCGGCGAGAGCGAGGGCCGCCAGGCAGGAGGAGGAGGAGGTGTTGCTTGCTGGTTGGTGTAGGTAGAAAGAGAGAGGTAGATCACCACGAGGTCAGGTCTTATATAGCGGAGGTAGGCGTGGCTTAATAGTTGACCTCCGTCATGTAAGGCGGCACTGGTTGACCCAGACCATGAGGCATACACTGGGGAATTCGCGGGGTCGGCTACGCAGCGACAAACAGCGTTTGTAGGGGAGGTATCCACTACAGTACTCCCCCCTTCCCTCCAGGCGGTGTAGGAGACTTGTTGTCTGCAGGGTTGCATGGCACATGTGAGGCAGAACGGGCGGTGCATGCCACATGTGAGCCATAACGGCGAGGGCGTGGATGAGCCGGCCGCTAGAGGAGACAACTGTCTAGATACACAATATCTGTGGGAGTAGAGAGGGAGAAAAGGGGTGTGTGGAGGCGATGAATGTTGTGCTTCCCTCATGGCAGGTACAGAGTCGTCAGATGCGCCTGCTGGGGTGTGTGGGCCTGGGTCAGGAGCAGGGGCTGCATCAGCAGGAGCGGAGGAGAGTCCGTGACAGCAGCAGGGTGCATGACAGCAGCAGGGTCCACGACAGGAGCAGGGTGCAAGACAGTAGTAGGGAGTACCTGAGGGAGAAAAGAGGGGTGTGTGGGTCCGCACTCAGGCGCATGGGCCGAGTCGGGAGCAGGGGCTGCATCAGGAGGAGCGGCAGGGGGTACTGCTGGGCCGGGGGCGGCATCTGAGGCAGGACGGGTGTGTTGGGGTCAGTAGGACGTGGTGCTTGGGGCAGGAAGAGGAGCGGCTGTTTGCTTAGAGTAGCAGAGCTGCTCTAGGGTGTCTAACCTGCGGTGTAGAGACAGTAACTGTAGAGCCGATGAGAGCTGCCTCTGCGTGGGTAAGCCAGTCTTCCATGTTGCTTGAAGACTGGGAGAGTGATCGGTTTCTCCTCCATCCTGTGTGAGTGCAAATCTCCGGGGGTCACCATTTGTGGGGTAAGTTATGTTTGGGTTCTCACTCAGGATGGGATGGAGAAAGGAAACTCACAATGTGCTCTCTGTATACATGTTGTATTGGATGTACAATGCAGCTTGGTGCTGGGAAGGCAGCATGGTTACAAGCGTTAAGTAGAGAGAGCTGGTTGGTGAGGGTGCTCAGAGGACCAGCTTGTGGGTCGCCATGCTCGCCGGCGAGAGCGAGGGCCGCCAGGCAGGAGGAGGAGGAGGAGGTGTTGCTTGCTGGTTGGTGTAGGTAGAAAGAGAGTAGGTCACCACGAGGTCAGGTCTTATATGGCAGAGGTAGGCGTGATAAATGGCAGTGAAGAAATAAGCAAAGCATTGAACAGCTACTTCTTATCAGTTTTCACAGAAGAAATTTGCGATGAAATTCCAGAGGTGGAACTGATATTTAAGGGAAAGGAAGAAGAGAAATTAAAGAATATCACTATCAGAAAAGAGGATGTTCTTAAGAAGATAAATAAACTAAAGAAAACAAAATCCCCAGGGCCGGATGAAATTTTCCCTGGAGTCTTGAAAGAGTGTAGGGAACAGATTAGCGGATCCCTCGTAAACTTATTTGCAAAATCATTAGACACCGGAGTTGTGCCAGACTTGTGGAAACATGCAAATGTAGTACCCATATTCAAAAAGGGAGACAGAGCATCAGCGTCAAATTACTGGCCGATCAGTTTGACGTCAGTAGTGGGGAAATTTCTTGAATCAATTATAGCAGATAGCATCCGATCGCATCTAGAGAAAAGCAAATCAATCTACAACTCTCAACATGGGTTTACAAAGGGAAAATCTTGTCTAACAAATCTGCTGACGTTTTTTAGGAAAGTCTTCGAGGTAGTAGATAATGACGAAAATTACGATGTTATTTACTTAGACTTTAGCAAGGCATTTGACAGAGTACAGCATCAGAGGCTTCTGAGAAAAATTAAGGCTCATGGTATTGAGGGGAAAGTTTTAAATTGGATAAAATCATGGCTCACCGATAGAACGCAGAGGGTCAGCGTAGATGGTGTTAAATCTGAGTGGGGCCGTGTAACCAGTGGGGTTCCCCAGGGGTCAGTACTAGGCCCACTCTTGTTCATAATCTACATAAACGATCTAGATACTGGGATCAGCAGTGACATAAGCAAGTTTGCGGATGACACCAAAATAGGGCGGCAGATTAATTCAGGGCAGGATGCAAATGCATTACAGGAGGATCTAAATAAACTGCAGAGGTGGTCTGAAAAATGGCAAATGAAATTCAACACCAGCAAGTGCAGCGTACTTAATATTAGAAGAACAAATACTGATAATGTATACAACCTTAACAACAACAACCTAGAGAAGTCGACTTGTGAAAGAGACCTAGGGGTACTAGTAAGCCCGGACCTACGGCCTAGAAAACAGTGCGTTAATGTTCGAAATAAGGCAGAGTATTGGGTTTTATATCTAGAAGTGTACGTAACAAGAGTGCAGAGGTCTTATTGCAACTATAACTTGCACTAGTCAGGCCGCACCTCGATTATGCGGTTCAGTTCTGGTGCCCTTATTATAGAATGGACATAAATTCACTAGTCGGTGCAGCGAAGAATGACAAAAATGATTCCGGGACTTAGAAACCTTCCATATCAGGATAGGTTAAAGAAACTTATCTTGCATTCCCTAGAAAGACGAAGAATGCGGGGAGATATGATAGAAGTATTTAAGTGGGTGAAAGGAATCAATAAAGGGGATATAAAGTTCTTATAATATCCGAGCAGGATAGGACTCGGAGTTACGGATTCAAGTTGGATAAGTTTAGGAGGGAGATAGGAAGAAACTGGTTCACAAATAGGGTGGTGGACGATGGGAACAAGCTTAGCAACTTTGTAGTAAGTGCGGGAACTCTGGAAAGTTTCAAAAGGCTAGATAGGTTCATGGAAGATAGTAGTAGTAACTCTCGACAGGAGCTGCCATGCACAGGCCAACCGACTTATTGCAGACTCCTTATTTTCTTATGTTAAAAGTTGACCTCGGTCATATAAGGCGGCGCTGGTTGACCCAGACCATGAGGCATACACTGGGGAATTTGCGGGGTCGGCTACTCAGTGACAAACAGCGTTTGTAGGGGAGGTATCCACTACACTACCTCCTCAAACCCCACACCACGCAAGCCGTTAGGCCATGGCATGTTATCTCACTAAAATTCCCTTCTATCCTCTTTAAACTTCCACTGAACCTCCTTCACTAGCCATCGATTGATAAACCTATTGAAGTATTCTCCAAAAAAAAAAAGCAAGTTAGGATATTTTAGAAAGTAGGCATTTTCTGAAATTTAAATATTTTAGGGTATGCAATAGATTAAATTTAAGTTCTTACCATAAAAGTTTTCATTACATCCAGGAATATCATCTTACGACATGTTTTGTTACAAAAATAAAACATTTTATTTTCCTTGTACTGTAATATGCATGCAATAACAGCTAAATTTTTTTTTCGATGACTAAGTTGTGGAAATTGAGTACTGTACTACTGTAACCATTACTTTATTTTTTTTATTAAAATAAGCCAGGATTTTTAGACCATGCTAGTTTTATATGCTTGTAATGTTAAACATTGTTAAGGTGATTATAAATAAAAGTGCAGAGCTGTCCCTTGGGGGTGTGTGGCTCCTTTTGCCAGTGATTTACTATCTATCTATATTATATATATATCATATATATATATATATATTATGTATATATATATAAATCACTGGCAAAAGGAGCCACACCCCCCCCAAGTGACAGCTCTGCACTTTTATTTATAATCACCTTAACAATGTTTAACATTCCAAGCATACCCGAAGGTTTACCTGCCAAATATAGCATGTCAATTAATGTACTAACTCTTGCAACCTAAATACAAGCCTCTCACATCCATGTGCAGGAATAAGACGACCCTTTCACAAATACTGTAGTAGGAAAAATTAGATGGGGTTTAAGAAAAATTAGGCAATTAACATCATAATGCTCAAATCTTTATTGTATTAAGTAGTACTATAATAATAATAATAATAATTAGCAGTTTAATGAGAGCATGGCAGCCAAAAGGCTGAAAATAGTTACATAATTGGGGAATGGGTAGCTTGATTTACAAATAATATACAACATAAGTGATACAAATATGATATCAACTAGGTGGGGGGGGGGGGGCTCGAACTACAGGGCATTTCAAGTGACGGTGCAAAAAGTAAAACTACAGGGCATTTCAACATAGTGACAGTGCAAAATGTAAGATTGAGTGGGAGTGAATACACTGGTTGATTAAAAGTTATTGATAATTTTTACAATGGTTGGGACTGGGCTGTTCTTATAGCGATCAGTTCGTGCTTGTATGGGCTGGATGCGGTTGTGGCGTCGAACAGCAATTCTTGAGCGAGGGATCTCAGGTGGTAGTAGGAGCAGGTGTCGAGGTTGGTGCAGAAGCTTCTCACCAAATTTGCAGGAGGTCGTGGTGATGGTCAGTGAGAGCCAAGAGGGTCGGTGTGTTGAGCATTTACTTTGTGTGGCATTTAGGGGAGGCATATGTGAGCTTGGGAAGTATGAATGATGAGTGAACACCGAGGAGCTCGAGTGCAGGAACTCCAAGGGTCGGCGGAGAAGGTGGAGACGGAAACTGGAGGATTTGACAATTTCACTGACATGTGGTTTCCAATTTGGTTTGTTGGTTATGGTGACACCGAGGAGCTTAGTGGAAACTACAACCTGAAATGTGTTGGGACATCAGAGGAGAGGTTGATGTGCATAACCATGGTCTTGGTATGGTTGATGGTGACATCATTGTTGGTGGCCCAGTTTTGAAGACTGTTCAATAGATCCTGAAGGGCAGTACATTTGATTGTTCTTCTACTAAGGGCAAGATTTTTTCCCCTTTCAAATTGCCAGCTTGCAAGATTTTTTTTTTCATATGAAGGTTTAACATATTTGTAGTACAGGAGGTAGTCGCAGAAATGTGTTCCTACACCCTCAGTGGTAACTTCAAATGGCAATGTTGCAGTTGTAGCATCACTATTTATGAAAGAATGGAAGTGATCACCACTTACCAAACTTGAAAGGTGGAATAAATAATCCAAGGGTTATCAATGGACACCAGTCAGCATGATTATGTACAGTATTCTGAAAAGGATAAAAAATAAAATAAAAATTAGGTCGAAAATTTCCTATAATTCAATACAGTATTTGGATATCTAATGACAACTGAATGACCAGACAAACACCAATGCCACTTACCAATATGCTTTCTAAAAAATGCAACAAGGTCCAAATCCAATTACAGGATAATTATGTGCAAGACTCCACTGCAGCCAAGTGCAGTTGCTCCTACTCTGCTGACAAAAGAAAATTTTATGTAACTCACAAAATTTAAGCCAACCACACTTTACAGTACACCTACAGTTGTTATCAGAAAAGATTAAGCTTGTGTACTCTCAGGGAAGTAGAGATGGATATTTATCATCATAAAGTATCAAATGGCAATTGCATTTTAACCTTGATACATGCTGTATTTCTAGGCTTAGAAGCATTAGCTAAACACACCCTATGTTGGAAGTCGGAAGTTTAGCGACGAATCTTCACCCTCAGTATTTAGCACATTCTGGAGGGAAAAAAATCTATTACCCATCTACAATATACCTACAATATATAAAACACATCTGTGCATATAATTAATTACAATATATGGTGTAGACCAGGCAGTCACTCAAAAGATTATACCGTATTACAAAATAGTGTTGAGAAAACATGACAACTGACGAAGGATTTTGACAACAGGTCAGTGTTCATTCTGAAATTCACTAACCTCCGTTGTTTTTTGAGTGACTACATTAAATGTATTAAATATTACTTCCAGACAAACCACCATACTTTATTATGCAAACAAAATGTTATGTAGCAGCAGATATACCTTCTACCTATAAAATTAAAAGTAGTTGGTTTAATGCAAATGCACATTCTATAGCAGACAACGAAAGTAATACAGATCACATTTTGAACTGCTACAGAGTGCATGTCTGCATATGCCCCACAAGTTTGTGAGTGGCCTAAGTGGTTATGTCGGCAAACACACCTAGGGTTGATAAGGATGCATGATGAAAAGGCTCCAGTGCAAGAAATGTGGGAGGAGGAAGATTACTCCAGTCTGAGGATGGCATGAACATGGTTGATTATTACAACCTTCATACACGAATAAAACCCAGTTATGTTGCTTGTAAAGAAGTATCTAAATCTTTACAGTCAAAATAATATAAAATAAGACCTGTAACAGCCTTTCCCCATCACTGATGACACATTTGTATTAAATAACCGAGGTACTGTACTATATTGGCTAGGTGTGGGGGAGAAAAAAAAAAAAAAAAAAAAAAATATTAAACTTACCAGCTAAGCATCGTGTCTGAAGTCTGAGCAAATCTTCAAGTCCCACTATACTGAGATCTGCAATAATTAGGATACTGGTTAAAAGCAAACTATGACTCCACATAAAACATACTAACAATGAAATGTCCTAAAATTCCTTAAGCTACAAAGAATGGTCACACACAAATCATTAATTTGCATCAGATGATATCCCTGCATAACTACAAAATCTCAACATTACAGTACTAAAAACTAGAAAAATACAAAAGTAATGCAACCAAAACCAAACTACACTTCTCTAAGCAAGTATTTAGATTTGCAGGAATATTGCCTTTTACTTTAACTTGCCAAAGGATACAACTTTATACTTCCAAATTTCATCCATTAATATGAGGTACACATGTTATATGAACAACAATCAAATTAAAGATGACCTTAAGTGTTACTGTCAATATGATAGCCATTTAAAGCAATTAATTAAGGGAATATTTTACCCTGCAGCACAGGTTACTGACAGTTTCAAAGCAGTTCACAGAAGTAGGATTCCATTTATTATGCTAGGCCAGGTGAAAGTGGATCAAATAATTGCAACCGTATTACTGGTGGTGCTTATCACTTGCAATTTTAACATCCATAGAATAGTATAACTTCAACTTCCTATATGAATAAAAGTTAATAACATTAAAAATAATTTGAGGATTGCTTATCAAAAGGTAGTTAACTTTGATGAAAATGTAATTGTTTTGTGACCAACAACACATGTGTAATGTTGACAGGGCACAATGCAAACTTTGATCTCCGATCACCGTAGCACCAATGAGGTATGAAACACTTCCACAAGTAACTCTGGGATCAGTGACATCACTGCATCAAGTTTACATAACATGCATGACAATGATACTTACCATGATCTATGCATGGTCGTGTCTCAAGTCCGAGCAAATCTTCAAGTCCCGCAATACTAGTCTGAAATATTTATGGCACTGGTCAGAAGCAAACGTGACAGTATGTAAGAAAACATCAGTAGAACAAGATGTCCACAGTTTTCTCCCCAAGTTATAAAGAAAAGTCGTACAACAAAACATTGCCTTGCACAATATGGGATGGCGGCAAAACAGTAGACTTTATACAGTACCCAAACAATGTAATAAACTAGGCATCTCTAAATAATAAAAATATTGTCAGGATATAGCCTTTTCATTTATGTAACTTATCAAAGAGTCTTTCTTTGTTTCATATAAATTCATCATCAGTGTGAGGTACACACTTCTTTAAACAGCCTTATCAATTGCATGTATTTCTCAAGTGCCGCTGTGCAACTTGGCACAGCATCTCTCAATTCATAAGGGTTAGAGCCCCATTAATTTGAATTATGGGCATTTTACTGTATAAAATATATGCAACTTCTCCCCAGAGATTTATTTTTTCGAAACAATTTTGAATACATTTCTAAACAATTCAAATGGGAGAGCAGTACTTTGCCCTATAATGTAGTAGGTTACGGACATTTTTTAAGCAGTTCACAGAACCTCTACCTCCCTTCTGGAGGAAGGGCTCCATTTATTATGATATGGCATGTGAAAGTGGACCAAATGTTTTTCATTTGTATGCAACTTAACTACTGCTGGGTCTTATCTCCATCATACAATTTTAACACTAATAGAATATAATTTATATAATTTCAACCTCCTTTCTGAATAAAAGTTAATACCGTATGAAATAGTTTAGCGACTGATTATCAAAAGTAGTCAACATTAATGAAAATGTAGATTGCTTTGTGACCAACAACACACATGTAATGTTGTCAGGGCATAATACAAACATTGATCTTCGATCACCATAGCACCAATGAAGTATGAAACACTTCCACCAGTAACTCAGGGATCAGTGACATCCTGTGTATGTATTTTACCTTTACCTTACATAACATAAACAATGATTATATATAAAAACAAAACCTTGCTATATTCAATTGTAGGCTATTTTACCATCCGACTCGGGTCAATAGCCACTTTCAGGGACATTATTTGAGTTTTACTTAACAATGCTAATAATGTAATGTATATATCAGGTGTTTTAGGGATATCTATAATACAGTACTGATCATTATACTGTATATATTAGGCACTGTCAAAAGTTCAAACTTGCGTGTATATAGAACCACCATAACCGGGTGGGCTAATCCCCGTTAAAAAAAAAAAAAAAAAAAAAACAAGAGTACTGTATAGTATATAAATATACAGTACGGCACGAGAAATTCATCAGTACAATACTAATACCTTCATTAAGTCGTGTTACTTCAAGAAAACAAAGTATTCCATACAACAGCCAATCCCAATTTTGCAAAACTAATCAATGTACAGTATTTAAAGGCACAATCGGGCACAAATTGTCTATCAATACACAAATCCTAGTTTGTGAATAAATGGGTCTTTTGAGAGTTTCTTAAAAACAACTTCAACATGAAACTTACTACAGTATTCCCCAAAACATTAACATTTAGGGTCATTTGTTTTCAGCATGTCCAATTACGTACCTCTAAATACATAATCACATTCATCATCCTGGCCAGAAGTCGAACCACACTCCATCCTGAAATGAAAACCTGAATTAGTAAAATTAAAATATAAAGTTCATCATGTGATAAATAAAAATGAAAAGCCCCCAAAATAAAGGGAACCCCCTTTCATTATAAGTGATATCACCGTTAGCCAGAATGATTGGTGCAGAGCACTTTCGGGTAACGAGACGACATTCTCAAGGCCAGAAAAATATCCCTCAACCCCGTAATTTTCCGGGTAATGGAAAAATTTTCTCGGAATTTCCAGAAAACGCACCCGATTTTCATCTCGAACCCAGAAAAAACTCCCCCCATACCCATAATTTACCAGGTTTCAGGAAAAATTTTCTTGAAAATGTGCCCCTCAAAAAATTTTGATTCCCGCTATCGGAGAGTTCCAGGTTTGAGGGATTCCGGCTAACGGAGATATTACTGTATACTGCATGCCTAAATTTTTTCATACACTTTTTAAATGGCCATATGCTTCAACACAATGGCCCACACAAATACTGTACTTTAAGAGGAACTATTTACCATAGTATACAACTCTGGTACATTATGATTTACTGGGCATAAAATACACCTAGCTTCATTAATGATAAATCATATAACATAGTGGACATTTCATAAGCTAGAATTCACCTTTAAATACCAATTTAAAAAGATAAAATAATAAATAAATAAATTTCACTACCTTCACCCATTATAACCATAGCCGTGGTGGCGTATTAACTTATTTTTGTTTCGTTTTAGTCTTTAATAAATTGTTTTTAAGCAGATGCTTGCAGGAGTAATAACATTATTAATTTTTGTTTTCGCCTTTAATAAATTATCTTTGCGAGATGCTTGCATGATCATTGGAGCAACCTCACAAGTGGAGTTCCCCAAGGCTCAGTACTTGGACCATTATTATTTATTACACTGGGGAACAAAATTCAACTTTTTTGTCAGTTGCATACATTTGAGACCTGTTTCTGGGTAAATTGAGGTCACTGATTTCAAACATGGCACCGGTTTTTTTTCTATCGGGTCTAGTTTTGTTGCGGTGAGTTACCTACCATTTACTACTATATATAGTTAGACTACCATATACTACTGCTAAAAATCTAAACCAGCACACAGAGAGGAATTACCAAACACGTAGAATTAATTTTTAATTACTTTTACTTACCTTGACAAGCATATTTTGGATTCATCAGTTGCTTTTGTGAACTATGCCAGATTTATTCAGGCACAAACTTGCGTTTAATGGACTGTCTTGAATATCGCCTCTCAGTGCAGTCTATTTTCAGCAAGTTTTTATCTTTTAACCGTGAAGCCAACAATTCTGACAGCTTTTTAGACAGACCCAGATCTCGAACTAAGTCATTGAGTTCTGCTTGCCTAAATGTTTGCGGTTGTGTTGATATGCCTGCAAAATCTGAGTCACTATTTCTGTTAGTTGACTCCTCTGTGACCTCAGTGTCATATTCACTGTCAGATTCAACGGAAGCAAGTTGAGTGAAGATAGGCTTTGGAACATCATCTGAATGGGGCACAGGCCTGATTGCTGAATCTAGACTAGGGTATGTGATAAGACGACGAGTTTTACCAGTGAAACCAGCAACACGAGTCATGCAAAAGTAACAGTCTGTGACATGGTCCCGTGGCTCACGCCATATCATCGGAATACCGAATGTTATTTTGTCTTTTCCTTTAGTCCATTGACGCAAGTTTTCTTCGCAGGAATGACATACCTTATGCGGTGCCCATGGTTTGTCTTGATCTCCAAGTTTCACTTTAAAGTAGGAAAAGTAAGCTCTCTTCACAAATTCACTAATGTTCCTTCTTTGCTTTGGAGCTGTGAATGCCCCACAAATATAGCAGAATGAATCCGGGAACGTCACACATTTCCTTCTACTTGCTATAGAGGCCATGTTTCCTTTGATTGAAGTCAACACTGTTTACAGAATGATCACACCTGGAAAAGAAGTAAAATAATTGTTTTAATTAAATAAAATAATAATGCACACACTAATGCACACACAAATCTATATTTGACGCACTGATGTAATTAAGAATTATATTTGATGAATGTAAACTAATATGCTTATTACCTCCCTTTGCTATTTACAGAATCTGTGACCTGATATGTAAATTGCCGCGTAGCATCAAAACTAGACCTGATCTGCACAAACGAATGCCATTTTCAGAATCTGTGACCTCAAATCTACCAGAATCAAGTGTCAGAACTCATGCAACCGAAAGTGTGTTCCCCAGTGTTATATACATAAACGACATGGATATCGGCATAGACAGCAACCTAAGTAAATTTGCTGGTGACACTAAAATAGGACGTGTTATCAAATCTGACGAAGACTCAGCAAAACTACAGGAAGATCTAAACAAATTTTTCGAATGGTCTGAAAAATGGCAGATGAAATTCAACATGGACAAATGTAAAGTACTCAGTATAGGAGATGTAAACAGGGAAACCAGATACCAGATGAACAACGATGCCATAGAGAAATCTGACTGCGAGAGATTTAGGAGTAATGATAAGTAGGAACCTTAAGCCAATTAACAATGTGTTTTTGCTCGTAACAAGGCTAATAAAGTACTTGGGTTCATACAAAGGAGTGTTAGTTACATAAGAACATAAGAAAATAAGGAGTCTGCAATAGGCCGGTTGGCCTGTGCATGGCAGCTCCTGTCGAGAGTTACTACCACTCTCTATCATCCATGAATCTATCTAGCCTCCTTTTGAAACTTTCCAGAGTTCCCGCACTTACTACAAAGTTGCTAAGCTTGTTCCACTCGTCCACCACCCTATTTGTGAACCAGTTTCTTCCTATCTCCCTCCTAAACCTAAACTTATCCAATTTGAATCCATTGCTCCGAGTCCTATCCTGCTCGGATATTATAAGAACTTTATCTATATCCCCTTTATTGATTCCTTTCACCCACTTAAATACTTCTATCATATCTCCCCGCACTCTTCGTCTTTCTAGGGAATGCAAGTTAATTTTCTTTAACCTATCCTGATATGGAAGGTTTCAAGTCCCGGAATCATTTTTGTCATTCATCGCTGCACCGACTCTAGTGAATTTATATCCATTCTATAATAGGGGCACCAGAACTGAACCGCATAATCGAGGTGCGGCCTAACTAGCGCAAGATATAGTTGCAATAAGACCTCTGCACTCTTGTTACTTACACTTCTAGATATAAAACTCGATACTCTATTTGCCTTATTTCGAACATTAACGCACTGTTTTCTAGGCCATAGGCCCGGGCTTACAAGTACCCCTAGGTCTCTTTCACAAGTCGACTTCTCTAGGTTGATGTTGTTAAGGCTGTATACATGATAAGTATTTGTTCTTCCAATATTAAGTACACTGCACTTGCTGGTGTTGAATTTCATTTGTCATTTTTCAGACCACCCCTGCAGTTTATTTAGATCCTCCTGTAATGCATTTGCATCCTGCCCTGAATTAATTTGCCGCCCTATTTTGGTGTCATCCGCAAACTTACTTATGTCACTGCTGATCCCAGTATCTAAATCGTTTATGTAGATTATGAACAAGAGTGGGCCTAGTACTGACCCCTGGGGAACCCCACTGGTTACACGGCCCCACTCAGATTTAACACCATCTACGCTGACCCTCTGCGTTCTATCAGTGAGCCATGATTTTATCCAATTTAAAACTTTCCCCTCGATACCATGAGCCTTAATTTTTCTCAGAAGCCTCTGATGCGGTACTCTGTCAAATGCGAGGTCATCCTAAAACTGTATTTTGCTCTTGTGAGACCACACCTGGATTACGCAGTTCAGTTCTGGTCACCGTATTACAGAATGGATATAGAATCCTTGGAACGAATTCAGAGGAGAATGACAAGACTAATCCCGGGCATTAGGAACCTTGAGTATAGAGACAGGTTAAAGCATCTTAATTTGCACTCCCTCGAGAGACGTAGAGCGAGGGGCGACCTGATAGAGGTGTACAAGTGGAAGGCAGGGCTAAACAAAGGGGACATTACAAAGGTACTCAAACTATCCAACCAGGAGCGAACTCGTAACAATGGTTTTAAATTAGACAAATTTAGATTTAGGCGGGAAATAGGTAAACACTGGTTTGGAAACAGAGTAGTGGATGAATGGAACAAGTTACCAAATATCATCATTAACTCGAATATGCTGAATAGCTTCAAACATAGGTTGGATGCTTATATGAGCAATAGGGGTTGGGTGTAAACGGGACTGCCCAGTATGGTCCAATAGGCCCGCTGCAGTTTCCTCCATTCTTATGTTCTTATATGAGCAATAGGGGTTGAGTGTAAACGGGACTGCTCAGTATGGGCCAATAGGCCCGCTGCAGTTTCCTCCATTCTTGTGTTCTTATGTACCTAACCTAACACAACTCAGATTAAATTAAGTTTACAAATTTTTTGTGACTATGACACCAAATAATCGAGAAGTGATTCACAGCCCGATTTACGCTTGTAGGACCATCATTTGACTTCATTGCGACTACATTTGGGTAATTACTCGCTCCTTCGGTACAAGCACTCGATCTATTAACTCGGTTTAAATTAAGTTTTCCAATTTTTTGTGACTGACACCAAATACTAGTCGAGAAGTGGTTGGCAGTCCGATTTATTCATGTAGGACCATCATTTGACTTCATTGCGACTACATTTGGGTAATTACTCGCTCCTTCGGTACAAGCACTCGATCTATTAACTCGGTTTAAATTAAGTTTTCCAATTTTTTGTGACTGACACCAAATACTAGTCGAGAAGTGGTTGGCAGTCCGATTTATTCATGTAGGACCATTATTTGACTTCATTGCAGCTACATTTGGGCAATTAGTCGGAGCTGCCAAGCACAGGCCAACCGGCCTATTGCAGACTCCTTATTTTCTTATGTTTAATAAAGGGGATATAGATAAAGTTCTTATAATATCCGTGCAGGATAGGACTCGTAGCAACGGATTTAAGTTGGATAAGTTTAGGTTTAGGAGGGAGATAGGAAGGAACTGGTTCACAAATAGGGTGGTGGAACCAGCTTAGCAACTCTTGTAGCAAGTGCTGGAACGCTGGAAAGTTTTAAAAGGGGGCTAGATAGTTTCATGGATGATAGTGGTAGTAACTCGACAGGAGCTGCCAAGCACAGGCCAACTGGCCTATTGCAGACGCCTTATTTTCTTATGGCGGCAGCGTCTTCGCAGACAGAATAGCTAACGATTTAGTTATTTCGTGCATCTGAAACACCTTTTGTCTACCACAACTTATGCAAGGGATTTGCAATATTTTGGAAAATTTTAAGACAGTATTGTACTAATGTATCTCAGCCTAAAGAACTAAAAGGCCAAAGTAAAAAACTCATTAACTCTTTGATGGACCAGCTAGGAATGGCCAGACAATTGTTAAAATACATTGGATTCATGGACACGTGACGAAACAGTGGCCATGTGGTCGACACGTGGTTCATCATTATTGACAAAATTGCCCTTATGATTGGTACGATAGACCTTAGTTCATTAAAAATCGTCTTGGCTGGTTTACGTCTTAAAACACCGGCCTCAATTGTCAAATACAAATGATAATGACGGGACTTAATAATAATGAATAATGTATATCCAACATATAATTGAGTGACCAAATATCTACAGAATCTCAAACACCTGAGAAAAGCATATTGTTTTCAACACAGTACTGTATATGAGAATACTAGTGAAACATTGAAACTAATAATACCAAAACATTGGCGTCAGAATCATATCAAAGAATAAAGAGTATCTTTGTACCATATGAAACCCGGCCCTAAAGCACTTAATTCGTTTTAATTTCACGGAAGTATTAAGTTCGAGATCTGTAGAGTTATATACACTTACACTAACACTCTAACAAACACTGGAAATCTAGATGATCAACGATAAAATTTCAAATACCTCCATAACACTTCCAACCATGGCTGCGGCTTGATGAAGAACGGACGAGTTAGATACGTCACGTGATGAAGAAAACTAATTATACTTATTTTAAATTAAAAATACGGATGTATGAATGTTAAACCCTGTGCATAGTATTTTTTAATCATAGTTTTATAGCAGTCAACAAAATATAATTAAAATAAAATATACGCTATTCAGAGTTAACAAAATTTAACTTCGTGCTGTTAACACTTTTTAATGTTTTATTTTTATTCTCTCTCTCAAATATAACCAGTATATTAACATGCACCTCTCTCGTAGTAACCATAAAATATGTAAAACAAATATATAAATAAATTTGTGACAATAAATTTAAGTCGTAAATACTAATTAAAACATTTATATTCAAAATTAATATTAGTATTATAACAGATTAGATGGTGGTAAAGATTGTTGTTTATACGCCGTTTGGTTTTATTTTTATTTTTTTTGGGGGGGAGGAACCTTCTGAAATCCGAAAACAGAATACATTGACTAAATAAAAGAATTACCATAATCACTACCACTAGTTGTGTGCTGGTTTGGGGATGCATTAGGAAATCTTAAAATTTCTATACAAAAGTTTCTTTCCATTGTGAAAACAGAAATATATAAAATAATTCAACAGAATACGAACTGCGTTCATACTCGCACTGGCTTTAATTTTTGTTTCAACATTGTAAAATAAAAGTTTAATATAAAGATTAATGATAATATTCATTTTATTATTCTAACACAAATATACAGATTAATGAAGGCTCTTTATTATTGTTTTATAAAGTTTGCTGTTTTTCGAATTTCAGGAGAAGATTGTGATTATTGTGATTCATCGCCATCATCTGACGTCTGCCATTTCCAAGTCTTTCTCAAACACTCCAAACTAAATCTCTCGAAAATGTTTGGTGGCTTATCTTCCAATAATTCTCAGGGTGAGTTGTGATGGTAGTTTATACCTAATCTGTTTCTGTATGTTGTCTTGCTTTGGTCAACTTTTACAGGGGTTAGGGTCATCTCATACTGAAGACAACTCGTACCCAACTCACGAGATAAGTCGTACCCAAGATTACTTACACCCAATTAAAGAGATAATCCATACCTATTGGTATATATACCATGCATTTTAGCTTTATCTATGATTACGAAAAAGATTAGGCAAATCTAGTAGGAAATTTCAGTGAAATAGGGAAATGTAATGCAGGCTTTAAAATGGTTGCATCTCATTACATAAGTATGTTATTCCGTCACACAAACATTGCACTACAAGTACATATTTCACACTATACGGTTTATAATAACTTTATTGCAATTTACAGATTTCAGGCCAATAGATTTGACAGTTTCAATTTATAAATTGGGCGATGTTGTAGTACTACAATGTAAACGTTTAAAATGGTCCTAAGTCAACGAAATATAAACATGCATAAAAACAGAATGATTTTCCAGCTCTAGCTTTTTGTAAACAAATCAGTTAGTATACAGTATATAATTCAGGGCTCCTCTGATAATTCTTCTGGTATAACGAACTTGTTCAACCGAGTGGGTGACATCGTCGGGTGACATCGTCAGGAATTTCTTCTGACATGTCAACATCAAGAATGAAATACAGTAGTAATAAGGGTATAAAAGAACGAAGAGTGAGAATATTGGCCGACGCATATACAATTAGATATGTTATTGCATATTAATGATACTCTGGATAGATTTGTTTAAAAAGTCACGACCACGGAAACAAGACCAGTATGAGTAACGTAACGATTTGATTATGTGTCGCCCAATAATCAGGCTATTCATATATTAAAATCAACCTTGTTCATGTTTCAATTGTGGATCTACATGCGATATATATATATATATATATATATATATATATATATATATATATATATATATATATATATATATATATATATATATATATATATATATATATATATTATATATATATATATATATATATATATATAGTGGCTATTCGGCCGTGACCAGCTATGTCCCTACTAACACTATTTTACCGTGAGTGCGCACTGATTGGCTAAGTACTTTCTGTTTAATATGACGGGGGGACCGCCCCGGCTAGGAAGTTAAGTAAGGTTAGGTAGGTTTCATTGGTTGGTTACATCAGGTTCTAGTAAATGTTGCCTCTTTCGTAATTATAGGTTTCCATGCACAACAGAAATATAGTTAGGTATGTTCTCTAGCTACACCATCGACTCACAGCAAAATAAATGCCAAATGCCACCAGAGTCACCAATAAAAATAGTTCTTGCATTGTTCACCAGTAATGGACGATTAGCCGATCAGAGCACACTCACAGTAAAATAACTTTAGTAGGAACTTAGCCAGTCAAGGCAATATATCCACTGCCTGTTTTAAAATGCAGTGGATATTTTGCCGAAATGCAGTGGATATTTTGCCGTGACCATCTAAGTTCCTACTAACACTATTTTTCTTGAGTGCGCGCTGATTGGCTAATCGTCCATTACCTGCGAACAATGCGAGAACGATATGTGACAATGATGTACAGTAGCTAAAATGAATATCTGTGCATACTCTGTGTGAAACAATATGAGACCATGGACGATAGGTGTTGGGATATGCGTCTCCTTATACTATATGAGAGTAATCACTTGACCGATTATTTTATTCCTGTATGCCAACTCACACTCTGTGTTGGATACTGAATGGCGGTGGGTGAAGACACGCATACCAACCCTCCCGAGACATTATGAGTTGTACGTATAATTTCGGAAGTCATCGGACCCACCCTGTCAGATACTTTCTTTAACTACTGTACATTGAAAAATGGAATTAGGTTAGGTTAGAAACCAGGTTACATCTTCCACCTGAAAAACCCTAGGATGATCATCCTGCAGCGAAAGGCACGTGAAGTGCCGGCACTGCATTTCATGGCTACACAACGGTCAAGTCGTGGCGCAATAAATGCCAAATGTTGCCAGAGTCACGGTCAAATATAGTTCTCATATTGTTCGCCGGTAATTGACGATTAAACAATCAGAGCTCTATCACAATAAAATAGCATTCAAAGGAACTTAGCCGGTCACGGCAAAATATCCACTGCGATTTTGAAAGAGGAGACATATACTTGAACCTGATGTAAACTACCAAAGAAACCTATCTAAACTTTCCAGTTAATATTGACGAGATAGCCACCCGTGTTATTTGCTTTGATGTTTCTTTCACTATATTTTCATCAGCATTACTTCATCTCGTACAACGATAAATAAATAAGGCACTCTGACCAACGCTCGATATACCTATGCTCAGTGTACGTTTATGAGCCGGTTGGTCCAGGCGGCTTCTTTTACGTCCACAAAAAAATTAAAATTATACCATATAAGAGTAAGTTCTTTCTGTTTAATTTTCTCATCCAGCGTTGAACATAAAAGGTGAAAAAAACTTACGCTCAGCCTCGCGACGCCAACTTGGTGTCCAATGGGGTATACAGTTGTATGGCTATTCTTCGTAGGGCCAAGCGGAATTTTATTAAAAGAAAGACCGCTGTCCTGACTAATTCTTCCCCTAGTAAATCCTTCTGGCCCTTAACTAAAAATATCTGTAACAACTTCTGCACGCCTTCTTTTCCTCCCCTCTTCCGTCCCAATAACTCTATAGTCAACTCTCCCCTTGACAAAGCCAACCTCTTTGGCACCTTATTCTCCTCTAATTTCACCTTAGATGATTCCCACTCCATCCCTCCTACCCCTGAACCTATGCACTTTCCTATAATCTCCACTCGCAGGGTTGCCGGTGTGTTATCCAGGTTGGATGTGAGTAAGGCGCATGGACCTGACGGAATACCCTACCCCCTCGTGTGCTGAAGCCCTGGCCCCTGTGCTTGCTCGCCTCTTTTGCCTTTGCCTCAAAGCCCAAACTTTTCCTTCTTGGAAGCATGCCTTGGTTCAGCCCATCCCGAAGAAGGGTGACCATTCTAATCCTTCTAACTATTGCCCCATTGCCCTAACTTCATCCCTCTCTAAGATTTTCGAAACTATCTTGAACTCCCATTTTCTCCGTCACCTTAAACGCCTTTCTCTTTTGTCGGATCACCAGTATGGCTTTCGCCAGGCGAGATCTACTGGTGGTCTGCTCTCCTATTGCACCCATCTTTGGTCATCCTCTCTTAGGGATTATGGGGAAACTTTTGTCGTGGCTCTTGACATCTCCAAAGCATTTGACAGGGTATGGCACAAGTTTTTGCTATCTAAACTTTCTTCTTTTGGTTTCTCTCCCCCACTTTGTTTTCTCATCTCTAGCTACCTTGCGAACCGATCCATGGCAGTTGTTGTCGAGGGATCGATTTCTCCCACAAGGTTCTGTTCTTTCACCAACTCTCTTCCTTCTTTTTATCAATGATTTATTTCACACTACAACTAATTCTATCCATTCTTACGCTGATGATTTTACTCTTCACTCTTCCTCACATTTTCCCCTTCCTCCAAACTCTCAAACTAGATCTGTTTCTAGAACTGATATCATTACTTATATCAATGCAGATCTGTGCAGCATCTCTGAATGGGGAGGTACAAACTTGGTTAAGTTCAATAGTAATAAAACTCAATATTTACCAATTACACATTGTAAATTAGACGATCTCCCACCAATTACATTTCAGGACGCTATCATCCTCCCAAATTCTGAAATAAATATGTTAGGCCTCACCATTTCCTCCAATATGTCCTGGAAATCTTACATCCTTAGTATAACTAAAGCTGCCTCCCGAAAGTTGGGAATGCTGTACAGATGCCGCAGCTACTTCACTCCTGAGCAGTTGCTCCAAGTGTATAAGGGATTCATTCGTCCTAACTTGGAGTACTGCTCTCATATCTGGAGTGGCTCTTCTTCTGTCCAACTATTAGATAGGGTGGAATCAAAGGCATTTCGTCTTATTAACTCTCCTCCTTTAGTCGACAATTTCTCTTCGCCTCAATGTTGCTTCACTCTCTCTCTTTTACAGGTACTTTAACGGGCAATGTTCGGTGGATTTGGCATCCTGTGTACCGCCGGCAAGGCCGTGGGTTCGCAACACACGTCTTGCCCGCCGTGCCCACCGTTTCTCTGTGGATGTCGGTCACACGAGAATAACCCGTTATAGTACCTCCCTCTTTCCTCACACAGCCAACTGTGGAATGCTCTGCCTTCTTCTGTGTTTCCATGCTCTTACAATCTGTCTTACTTTAAAAAGCTGGTTTTCTGGCATCTCCGTGGTGTAGATTAATACAGTACAGTATAACCTTTTTTTTCTATAATTACAATTTCTTTCCTTTCTTTTTTTTTTTGCCCCCCAGGCTCCGTTGTGGGTCGTTTGACCTGTGCCCGGGTGGGCTAATTCCCGTAAAAAAAAACACTTACTTTGAGGTGTGCATGTAGAAGGCCCCTGGTTGATGATGGGAATTAGAAGTGGGGTGGAGGAGAAGGGAGAAGAGAAGGCAGTGGGGGTGGAAGAGAAGTCACCCCATGCTTCATGCCGCCATTACACCCATAAAATTTTAAGTTAACTTGGTGTAATTCAAGATTATTTTCTTTAAATCAACACTGCACTGCACTATATATTGTCAATATGTAAAATAAATTTCAGAATGACCAATAATTGTACAGTACTATAAAAACGTAAAAATAGTTTATGTTCAAGAGAGTCTCAAGCAAGATGCTACCTCCACTGAGCAGAGACACAAACTGACGCTATTCTGGGTGAGTCAAGTGGCTGTTTGGCGTGCTAAAAATTAGTTCCCTATACTTCAATTATGTAAAAAAATTGTTAAAATGCCTAAAAAATTTAATACAAGACTTGGAAAATTATTGAATAGTATAACCTTCTTGATATTTACTCAAATGGTAACAAATTTAAGCCCTAAAACCGATTACTGTACTGTATTGGCAGACTAATACTCAAGCTGGTGAGCAGGCGAAA